AGCTGACAGGTGCTCATGAGGGAGAAAGAACAGTTCTTAATTCAGTTCTTCAGGTGGTGCCAGAATCATTAAGATGCTGAAATTCACATTGTCAGTTTTCTGCAAACATATAATACCATGTTAGATCTTCCTCAACTAGTTTTACCTCAGGAATGCTGGAGAGATATGCCATTGTCTTCTTTTTTAGTTTTGTATTAGTTATCTGTAACTGCATAAAAAATTATCCCCAAATTTAGCACTTAAACAACCATGACCTTGGTTTCTTTGTCTCTCACAAGGCTGCAATCAAGGTGTTGGCTGCAGTCACCTCAGAGTTCCACTGGGGTGGATCCCCTTCCAAACTCATGTATTGTTGGCAGGATTCAGTTGGAATGACGGCCTCAGTCCCATGTTTGCTGTTGGCTGGAAATCTCTGCTTCTTGTCACATGGGCCTTTCCAAAGAGCACCTCACCTTCCAAGCAGGAAAGCACAAAAGTAAGAGTGGGCAAGGAGACAGAAGCCAGAGTCTTTCTGCCACCAAACCTCAGGAGAGCTCTCTCCCTTCTTCCATGTTCTACTCTTTAGAAGCAGGTCATTAGGTCCAGCTCACACCCAAGGACAGGAGGTCATACAAGAGTGCACACCAGCGGGCAGGCATCACTGGGAACCATCTTAGAAGCTGCCTACCACTAGCTTTGTTGTTTCAGACGCAAAGCTAATGACTGGGGAAGTAAGACCGCCTGTATACGATGCATCTGAAAGGCACAGGGCTGCATATCAGCACCAGTTGCACATTTACTATCTGTTCCTTATGCTTATTCTCAGAGCAAAATTTTCTTATGAGGTATACACACAACAGTGATAAAATAACTCAAGGGTACAGAAAGAACTCCCCTACTATTTACATGATTATTTTTTGGTTCAAAATTTGTGAATACTTCTCTGAAACATCACTTAGTAGGACCAATATTATCAATGGAAGAATAAAACAAGATTTGAAAAGCATGGTTGAATACCTAGATTTCTGATAAAAATTCCCTTTAGCAATCAACAACTACTCAAAATGTTTGAACACTTCCCAGCTCTTTGGGAGGCCAAGGGAGGAGGATTGCTTGAGCCCAGGAGTTTGAGACCTCATCTCTAAAAACAAAAACAAAAACAAAAACCCCAAAAAATCAGATGGGCCAGGAGCAGTGGCTCACACCTGTTATTCCAGCATTTGGGAGGCCTAGGCAGGCAGACTGCTGGAGCTTAGGAGTTCCAGGCCAGCCTGACAACACGGCAAAACCGTCTCTACAAAAATAATTTAAAACAATTAGCCAGGCATGGTGGTGCATGCCTGTAGTCCCAGCTACCTGGCAGACTAAGGTAGGAAGATCTCCTGAGCCCAGAAGGTCGAGGCTGCAGTGAGCCGAGATTGTGCCACTCCACTCCAGCCTGGCTGACAAAGCAAGACTCTGCCTCAAAAGAAAAAAGTTTCAATGAAATATGTACTGGTGGCCAGGCGCAGTGGCTCACGCCTGTAATCCCAGCACTTTGGTAGGCTGAGGAGGGCGGATCGCCTGAGGTTGGGAGATTGAGACCAGCCTAACCAACATTGCAGAGTATGACAAAGCTTGGAGGGTAAGAGGACTTTTAAATAACACCTGTTTCTTGATCCTAAATAACACAAAGTACAATTGCTCTGTAACTATTTCCAGAGACAGACCAGTGATAACTACTTTCTTCCTTTGTGCCCTGATCTGTGCCTGATGCTTGTGAAACTCACAAGAGTTTCCGCCTTCTTTTGCTCCCTACTTCATGTTCACCTGTGTTGAGGTCTACTCATCCATGTTTCCAGGCTGTGCTATGGCTTGTGCACTGTGCACCCTGAAAGGACAGCTTGGCTCTGCAGCCTGCTCTACGCCAGTCCTCATTGCTTCTTCAGTGACCAGATGCAGTAGACTGGATCCTGCAGGCAACCTGGGACAAAATGTATTTTTTTTCTTTAGTTCATCTTCCCTTGAAGATTAATTAATTTGAAAGCATAAAATGGTTCCCAGTGTAAAAAAATAAGGTTGCACTTATTATCATAACTATGATCATTTTATTTTGGAAGCTACTAGATAGGAAATGCCAACTTTTGCCCTGGAAAGAAATACAGATTCTGTGGGCACAAGTGATCTAAATTCTTTGCCAATTCTAGACTTTAGAAATTGAGGCAAGCAAGGAAATCATAACAAGTTTTTAATTATAGTTCGAGAGTCAGAATTCTTTTCTGTAAAATGCCAAATCTAGGATTAAGCAGATGAGAATTCTCATGTGGCCTGGAAGTTCACCTCTAATAAAAATCTACTGCTTTAAAAAAAATTTACACTAGACAGTGCATACTAAACATGCACCCTAGTCATTAGCTTTCTAGGCTTTTGTAGTCATTAAACCAGTTGCAAAAATACATTTTTAAAAAGTTAATAAAGGAAAGTAAATTCAGAGGTTTGAATTATTAGCAGAGGTATATAAAACGTAAGTGATTTTGCAGAAAGCTAAAAAAGATATCCAAGATAATCTTGTCATTTATAGTGGCTCGAACTCCAATCATTCTCCAAACTCAAGAGATATGGCACACAGATGTTTGATTTCTAGAATGTACATTGTCTCCTTTAGATTTAAAAAAGATCAGAAAAGCAAAAACATGGGAGTTCTTCCTGCCTAGTATCAAGCCTGTATCCTGCTAACAAACATTGCTTAGTAAGAATTCACAGGTGCCAAGGAATCATGGCAACAAAACTGTAGAACACAGTGTTACATACATTTAAAGAAAAGGGAAAATATAATGCATTGAAAAAAATATAGAATAAATTACATTTCAAATCAGAATGACTGACAAGCTTACATGGAACATCTGGGCTGCTATTTAGAAGTGCTCGACTTTTAAAACCTACAACTGACAAAAGCAGGAGACAGCAAAAAAAAGAAAGTACTAGGCTAGTTCTTGAGACACTGGTGCTCACTTCACTTCTGTGGGTTTCAGTCTTCTCATTAATACACGTGGACAAGATAGTCTTTCTTGGGTCTTCAAAAACACCAGAAACTCGATGATCCTTCTGGGTCTAATCAGTGTGATTCAAGGAATATTATTTTTAAGACTTGCAATAAAGTGAGATGAACATAGTGAACCCCATTTTGCAATAAAAGCATAATCTCCTTTGAGAATTATTCCTGAAATCACAACCAGGCTTCTCCCGTCCCCTCTTATCAGGGAACACACTCCTGAAACAGGGAAGCATCTTTCTCATCAGACTTTGGAAGAACCATACAAATGTTCAGAGGCAGACTTTCAGGAAGTTCTTTTAAAGTCTAACAATTCTATGAAACATGACAAAGACACTGATATAAGAGCTGCTGGGTTAAAGGAGGCTTTTAAGTCTCCTTTGTGATGTGAAATGTGAACATTCTTTGCTTTTTGTTAAACCTTTAGATTGACGCTCTCCCCACACACCTTATTCCTACATACTTTAGGAATATCTTACATACTTTAGGAATATCTTACATACTTTAGATGTTGGGATTAGTAGGTTTCCTGCAATAGATCTGTGGGCACTTGGGGGATGACATGGTGAATTGCAGATGGAAGATAACAGTGACAATACTATACAGGTATCCTTAATGCTGTTTCTGAATTGAAGATATTTACCCCTTCCAGATTTGCATTTTGTGTTAGATGTGTTTAACACTGGGGCACTGTGTGGGGTACTGTGTGTGACAGTTAATACTGTGTAATGAAGTCCACAAGATGGCTAAATTTCACGTCTTCTGTTACTAAGTTGTATGGCTTTCATTTTAGTAAGCAATTTGTAAAGTTTTCTCACTGATCTCAAAGATTAAATGCTGTATAGACAGCATTAGCATTATTCCGGCAATAATGCCTAAGACTTATTAGTTTCATTCTCACTTCTTCCAAAAGCATAGACAAATTTAAGAAATAAATGAGATCTAATGCCCATCTATGATTCAATGAAGGCATAACATGTGACAGTCCAAGGCTGGCTTAGCTATTGATCATCTGGTTCTTTAGTTCTATCCCTGACAACATAGACCAACCCCAAACCAATGTTCCTAGATGACATTAAGTTGTGCCTTCACTGGGTTAAGGGGCACCATTACAACCTCTCTCTGCATGTTGCATCCTTTTTACATTCTGGGGAAATGTTCCTACATAAAAACCCTCATGCTGTAGTTCTAGAGGAAACTAGCCCCTGCACATAAATTTGCTTTCTACTGTGAAAAGCAAAAACTGTTTTAGCAGCCAGAAAATTCAGAACCAAACTTACTGTCTAAACTTTACTTGCTACATTGACTTGTATAAAACTATGTACTTCTGTGCTATTTTACTGTTATATGTCTTCTTTAAAGATTGTATTTTGCAGGCCTCTTCAAGACCTTTTAAAAGAAAATAGAAATCAAATTTCACAAATAAAAATATAGTTACAAGTGACTATAGGTAACATAGTTTAGCATACTGTATTATTTGTTACTATAATCTAAAGATTAAAGATGGGTTTAACAGCTATTTTTAAAAATGGATATAATTTTACATAGAAAATATGCAAATTTCCCTTTTATCATTATGAAGAATGAGATTATAGTTGTTGTATTATGTATTTATTGTGCTGTTCAAATGTTGGCTGGCACAAGTTACCTACTAAAATGCTTGTTCTGAATAACTATTGAAAAAACTTAGCTGTCTCTGGTATTAGTTCATTGAATATTATGTGTATCATGTCTTTTTATGTTTCCAAGTTGTACTGTTAAAACAAGAAACTATGCTGGCTTAAAAAAACATTTAAATCATGAATACACTATGTGTAGGCCTTTCTGTCTCCTGAATATTATCTACTTTTTTTTAAAAAACAAAAGCTTTGATATAAGAAAGCATTCTGTGGCAGTATATGTGTATCATATTTAAAGTCACAATTTTCACTAATCTGAGAACATATCTATGCAATATTTAAGAGTTAATAAAATCCAGTAAAACTTCAACTTATTTCATTGAGAATTTACTACCAAAATATAGAAAACAGGAATTTACCTCTTTTAAATGGCATGTCTGTATTACTTACAATTTGATAAATGAGTTCCTTTCTGCACATATCTTAAGATCCACAACCTCAGTGGCATAAATAACATGATTAAAGGATCATGTACAATGTATATTTTAATATAGGATTTGTGTAGTGATTCAGAGCAATAAATATCACACAGTGAAAAATTTATCACAAACTAAATACAGTAACAACAGGAAAGAAAGAGCTTATGTCCACATTACCAAGGTCTTTACAATAAGTTATAGTGTCCAGGTCCAACATGGCATATTTGCATACAAAGCCGCTGATGTGAACACTGAAAGGAATCTGCCCTGTAGGTCTTTCATCTTGATTTAATAAAGTTTGTACAGTATCAAATAATATCAAAAGTCTAAAAAAACACAATGAACTTTTATGTTTATAAATTATTTTTATATACCATAAAAAAAGTCAGAAGTGCAGGTTAAAAAAAAGTGGACGTTGTTTTTCTTAAGAGCTAGAAAAATGTCCTGTCCCAGGTAAGAAGCCATCTCAAGGCTCACCCAGTTTCTAAAAAATTCCCTTTAACTCCATCCAACCTTGGTTACCATATGCGGTAAGCAAAACCAATAGAATGGGAGCTATGTAACAATCTAGCAAAGAGAAACATTGCAAATATATGTAATTATAGGCCTCTCCCAAAGTGAATGAAATGACTGTTTGCTGGAATGAATGGGCTATCACTGAATGTGACCATACTTGGGAAACTTCAAAGGCTTGCTACAAGTTTTTATCTTTTTCGCATTTTTAGTCACAGCTGGCAATGGTACATATAATCCAGGATTATGAAATTTTCTAGTATAACTGAGAAAAAATTTAATTGAAAGGTGATAAATCATATCATCTACTACTTCTCACAGAAAATAAGGACTAAGGGCCCAGTAATTAAAAGGCAGAAGTACAGAGATTAGTCAAGAAGAAACAGATGGATGAAATACAACTGGGTCTTAATTGGCACAGTAACTAGCTGTATTTTGACACATTCAAGAAGAAATGCCTATATTGAAGTATGTGGTACATTAACCACTTGTATTTATATAAGAAACTGAAATGGTAAAACTATGGGCTTATAAAACATCAAATCTGGAGAAAAGAAAAATAAAAGGAATGTAAAGAAAAATCTTAGTTTATTGTAGGATCAAAATATTGACAGAGCCGTATCAGTCAAGAGCAGTATTCCTCCTGCTAAAACGAAAAGGCAGCCTGAGCCTGGCTCCATCCAACCACCTCTTCCAATGCTCTTTAACTGGGTGCTTTCTATAAATGACACAAAGCAATAGATGATGATTATTGTTCACACTGAATAGAGTAAGTTCCTTGATTGGTTTAACATATATAGACTGCCTGAAAGAATAAAAACATCACCATAATGATAGGTTAATGGTAAATCAAGGTCTTCATAGCTGTGATGGGAGAAAAGGGTTGGCTGCTGGAAACAGTATGGTGTCCAGGAGGCTGCATACATACACACTTAAGAATTCACATCACCTTTAGCAGAATATTAGAAGTCAATGGATATGGATGCTTGTGCAGAATCTTCTCGCCCCCTGACATAAATTTCACAGGGAATCTCCTCCATTACTCGGTCTTCTAGGGCCTGCTCAGGGCAGTCGTGTCCCTGTTTGAAAGTGTAACTACTTTTCTTGAAGGTGCTATTAAATGTTTTCATTGGCTGTGGTTGTGCAAAGTCATTTCGGAAAGGAAGTTCCATGGAACTGAGGTTGTTCCTGCTTTGTTTGACGCTGGAGGCCTGCGACCCACAGTGGTGGTCGTGAATGCAGCGGGAGGCAGTGGAGGAGCGCCGCATCTTCTGGTAGTTGTCCAATTCTTCTGACAAGTCTGCCAGGTCTGCAGAAATCTCTTTGTCCCTTAATGAAAACAGTTCATAATGAGGAGGATCAAACACTTCTTGGAACCCGGTTTTATTAAAGGCAGTTTTGCAAGCCATGACCTTTTTTCGAGGCTGTTTCACTTGTACTAAAATGGAAATAATGAGAAGGACCAAGACAATCCCTGAAGTAATGCCAATAATTGTCCCATGAGTTTTAGTAATTTGCTCAAAGAGTCCTGCTTTTTTCTTTTCTGTAGAAAGAAAATGAGAAATGTTAAGTTTTCAAAATACATTAATATGAATCCTGGTACAAATCAGTAAGGTATTTTTAGGTAAAGCAGAATACTTGGGCCAAATATACTACAGACAATGCATTTACAATTAGGTTTTTAAACAAAACAACTCTATTATAATTTCTTGTTAAAAGTTACCAACCACAGTATAGATAGATTACAAAAAAGATAAAGTTTGTGGTCCCATTCTTCAGAAGACACAGAAATGCACACATTCTGAAAATCAAATCAATTACATAAATATAGACTATGCCAAATAAGTACTTTTTTGCTATCAAGTTTAGCTTTCTGCTTGATGATTGGTTTGACCAACTGCCATGTTCAGGTATACCCACATCTACTGATGACCCCAGGGAGAGCAAACTAACATCATCAGACTAACCTATGCAGTATATTATCATGATCTACTGTTTTTGAATGATTACCTGAAAACACTTCATGTCAAGTATTTATGACAGCCATATCAGATTACATCACCTTTTCACAGTAAGATATTTGCTGAATTCTTACAGCCTGGGTCCCCACCCCTTGGCCATAGACAGGAACTGGGTTGCACTGCAGGAAGTGAACAGTGAGTGAGCGAGCTCTGTATTTGCTGCCGCTCCCCGTCACTCGCATTACCTGGAGCTCTGCCCACTGTCAGATCAGCAGTGGCATTAGATTCTCACAGCAGCAGGAGCCCTATTGTGAACCATGCATTTGAGAGACATAGGCTATGTGCTCCTTAGGAGAATCCAATGCCTGATGTTCTGTCACTGTCTTTCATCAGCCCCAGATGGGACTGTCTAGTTGAAGGAAAACAAGCTCAGGGCTCACACTGATTCTACATTATGGTGAGTTGATAATTATTTCATTATATACAACATAGTAATAAAGTGCACAATAAATGTAATGCACTTAAATCATCCTGAAACCAACCCTCTCGACCCACCCCTGTTCCATGAAAAAATTGTCTTCTATGAAACCAGTTATTGGTGCCATAAAGGCTGGGGGCTGCCGTCTTAGAGGATAAAAGGTAGATCACCTTTAGTTCTGAGACAGTCATCTGACAACCAGCTTGCAGACATTCAACCATCAACCACAAGCTGCATTCATCTTTCAGTGAGTACACACTGGGAATATAGCTTAGGAAATGTTGTGAAATTTAAAAAAGCAGTTCATAGAATGTTTCTGTTTTTATGTTGTAAGACTGAATCTGCAAGTTGATTTTTATTAAATAGTGTTTCCACATAATGCAGGCTAACCTCTAAATTATTTTGACAACTAAATAATGCTTACAATACAAATGACAAACTTCAACAACAGTAGCAAAATAAAGGCAAGGCATACCACGATACACTTTTTTTTTTTTTTGAGACAGAGTTTCACTCTTGTTGTCCAAGCTGGAGTGCGATGGCACATTCTCAGCTCACTGAAACCTCTGCCTCCTGGGTTCAAGCGATTCTCCTGTCTCAGCCTCGCGAGTAGGTGGGATTACAGGCGTACGCCACCACGTTCGGCTAATTTTTTTGTATTTTTAGTAGAAACAGGGTTTCACCATGTTAGCCAAGCCGGTCTTGAACTCCTGACTTCAAGTGATCTGCCCACCTGGGCCTCCCAAAGTGCTGGGATCTATAGGCGTGAGCCACCGCCCCCGGCCATAATACACTTTTGAACAACTTAACAGTTTGTAGACAAAAATGCTTTTGTTTAGAGTATTTTTCTTTGCTTTCACCGCATCCCAGGTCTATAATCCATTTAAAAGAACATTTATATGTTTGCATTTCTGCCAAAGCAACTATGCTAAGCACTGTTGTAGAAAATAACATTTTAAGTGTTTCCTAATGAAGGGCAATAGTTACTCTTTTCTCAAAAAGGCTGGCCTTTACATCAAACTCACCTTTACAATGATTTTCATCCCAAGGGTATGCACAATTTTGGACACCATTACAGACTAAAGAATTATTGATGCACATGTTGCTATGGCAAAAGAAAGTGCTGCCCGTGCAGGGAGCTGCAGGAAGAGAAAACAGTGTTGCAAAGAGCAGGCATAACACCCGATTTTGATTTATTTTATACGTAACAAATCCAACTTTATCAGAACACTTTCTTACTTCAACGGCCTTTACTTGAATAAACTCTGTACTATTCAAACAATAAGACAAATGTCAATATTCTCTGATGCTGGCTCATTCAAACTTTTTCTTATGCTAGGCCCCAAAAGGTCATTTTTAATGAAATGATAACATGAATGCATTTCCAATGGTTCTTATGGAACCAGTATACAATCTGGTAAATTTTTTTTCAAAACTTTGAAAGACAATGTTGGCAAGGATGTAGAGACACTGGAACCTTTCTGCACTGCTGGTGAGAATATAACATGGTGCAGCCGTTATGGAAAATTGTCTGGAGACGTCTCAAAAAGTTAAGTAGAATTACCTTACGATCCAGCAATTTTACTTTTAGCTATCTACTCCAAAGAACTGAAAGCAGGAACTCAGTTACTTGCATACCAATGTTCACAGCAGCATTATGCATAATATGCAGAAGGTGGGAACAAACAAAATGCCCATTGATGGGTGAATGGATAAACAATGTGGCATCTACAAGACAATGGAATGTGATTCAGTCATAAAAAGAAATGAAATTCTGAAACATACAAGGACGAAGCCATATATTTCACTTAGCATAATTATTTATAGTTATATATTATCGTATGAGAAATACCATATGATTCCACTTATTGAAGTACCTAGAAGAGGCAAATCCATAGAGACAGAAAGTAGAAGAGGTTACCAGGGGCCAGAAAGAGGGAGGAATGGGGAGGTGATGTTTAATGGGTGCAAAGCTTCAGTCTGGGAAAACAAAAAAGTTCTGAATATAGACAGTGGTGATGATTGCACAATAATGTGAATGAATGTTACTTAATGCCACTGAACCGTATAGTTAAAATGGCTAAAATAATACATTTTGTTAAGTATATTTTACCCATAATAAAAGAAATCCACTCTTCTGAATTCAAAAAAATTGCTTTTTTTAAAAAAATGTCCAGGAGAGGAAAGGAAACTTTATTTTTTATATGTATGTATGTATTTTTTTGGCAGGGGAGAGGGGGAAGTCTCCCGCTGTCACCCAGGCTGGAGTGCAATGGCATGATCTTGGCTCACTGCAACCTTCGCCTCCCAGGTTCAAGCAGTTTTCCTGTCTTAGCCTCCCAAGCAGCTGGGATTACAGGCATGTTCTGCCATGCCCAGCTAATTTTTGGTATTTTTAGTAGAGATGGGGTTTTACCCTTTTAACTAGGATGGTCTTGATCTCCTGACCTCGTGATCCACCCATCTCAGCCTCCCAAAGTGCTGGGATTATAGGCATGAGCCACCGTACTTGGCCCAAAAAATTGTTTTAAAGACACTAAAGGTATATATGACACTAAAAGAATATAAACCATGTAACTTCCTACTTGTTTAAGTTGTTCTTTCAGCCTGGAATGGCTCTGTTTCTCTTTGTAGCGGCCACCTACTCATCTTTCAGAATCATCTCAAATGTTACCATCTGTGAAAATCCCCTTACTTCTCCTGGGTAGCCAGTCACTCCTGTGTGTTCCTGTCACGCTCCACATACTCCACTACTTGGCACTTCCCCTTGTGTATGTAAACCTTTGTTAGAATGGATTATTATTATCAATGTGCTTACTTCTGTTAGGAACTAAACTCCTAGCTTGGAGGCAGGAGTCCAACAGAGTAGTATTAAGTATTTCAGTGTAAAGAAACAAACAAAACATCTGAAAGTCAAGAAATGAGACAGCTTATTATTTTCCCATTCAACAAGATTATAGTACAACAGAAGCTGAAAAACCTTAGCAATTTTTTTCTCACTCTGTTGCCAAGGCTGGAATGCAGTGGCACCATATCAGCTCACTGCAACCTCCACCTCCCAGGTTCAAGTGATTTTCCTGCCTCAGCCTCCCCGACTAGCTGTGACTACAGGCACGTGCCAACACACTCAGGTAATTTTTGTATTTTTCAGTGGAGATGAGGTTTTACCATTCCGCCAGGCTGGTTTCAAACTCCTGACCTTAAGTGATCTGCCTGCCTCAGCCTCCCAAAGTGTTGGGATTACAGGCATGAGCCACTGTGCGTGGCCCAAAACTTAACAGTTTTGCCTTCTGAAATTGTAGCTGGACAAAATGTATTTTCTGTCTAAAAGATTCAATACTTTTGATTTTCAGAAAATATTTGCTACATCAAGGAGGGAGAATTGAATATTGCTCTATATTATGCTAACATACCTCAAATATTTTTTATATTTTCTTTCAGGTTTTTCAAGATACAATTAGTATCTAAAATTTTACTTGACTAATAAGATTTTTTCTAAATATTATCTTTCTCTTAATAAATATGTAATACAACAATTTTTAAAACAGCCATGAGTAGTATTTTTTTCCCCTCCAAAGAGAAGACTCTTTAGAGAGCAGTCATGAAAGTTTGGCATATCTGACCACATTCTCCAATTGCAGTACATTATCAGTAATAAAACTGATATTTTTTTCATCCATATGCCTTACATACTCTATTTCTCAATGGGCTGTGAACATGGGCTGGAAAAACAGGCATTTATTAGGTACCTAGATAACTCCAAAACATAATCTGACAAATGTAGGTCCATAGTGAATATCCAAAATTGCTTTGCTATTAAGAGTATGACCATAATCTCTCTTTAAGCAGAATCCCCTAAACGATATTATTCACCCAAGTTTCAGTACAACAGGTTAAAAATCTAGTCATTATGAACTAGGGTTTGCTTATCCCCTTCCCGCTCCTCACTGTAAGCCAACCTGCAGTTGAGTTTAGACTCTTTCTCTATATACAGCTCAACAGTCTTCACACTGAACTGTTAAGCTTATTCACCTGTGGAGTACTCAGCTGCTGCAGTTCAAGTATGAGAACCCCTTGGTGGCTGACATGACTGAAGAGTCCACAATAATAGCTATGAACTGTGAAGAAACTTGGGAAATAGCACCATGCAACAGAAAGTGGAAAAAACAACGAACTAGTAATCAATAAAAATAATTTCTATTGTCATTTAGTCCACATATTTTAAGATACTTAATCTCCTTGGGCCTCAGCTTTCTCTTTTAAAACAAAGGGGATGGAATACGTGTCTCTCAGACGTCTGGTTCTAAAATTTGGTGAGACTATGCAATTAGTGGTCTCAATCATGATACTTCTGTTTTACATTAAATGCAAATGATGTATATATCTAATAAGTAATTTATCCAGAGACTGTTAACCTGTCTAAATGGTATCACTAAAACCATTAAAATACTTCATGATTCTTAGATAACATTGATGGTTCCAAGGCTCATCAGAAAGACAACAGGTGTCAGTTACACAAACGTGCCATCAGACTGAGGGCAGAGGAGCAGCTGGTGGTGTTTTATTCACTTTACAAAATTAGCTAGTGCACCTACTTTCATTTGTCAAAGATATCATAAAACTGTGTTATACAAATGGGGGCACTGAATAATATTAAAAAATGGCCAAGAGAAACATACAGTATTTTTGATTTCCTCATTTTTACAAACTGGAGTTGCTGTTTTTATTTATGTACCACACTGTAATTCTATTACATATGATATAATTGTATATTATATTCTATCTAGTTCACAAAAAGGTGATGTAGGAAAGATAAATCATTTTCAAGACAAGCTGAATGAGGTAATAAACAGCACTGTGGCTCCTTGGCATTCGAATTTCATGAATAAAACTACCATTAGGTTTTAAGGTTTATCTACAGAACAATATGTGACCTCCACTTTGATGGCTCTTTATAACTTCAAAGGTGGCCTTAAAGACAGGTTTGCTGCTCTGTGTTCATCACTGATTGAGCAGTAAGAGAAAGATGTCCTCAGTTTTTATTATAAATTCTTTGCAACTGCTCTCAATATTATTTAAAGCGATTAGAAAATGGCACTGATGCTGTTCAGATTTTGTTTCATAGAAATGTGAGTTATATTTATAATTACACCCACATTAACCTTTATGGCTTTTCACTGGGTAAGCATGGCTGGTGGAAATGAGAGTCAAGCATCAGTTATTGATATGGAATATTAATGGTATACTTCAATTCAAATAATCAAATGATTGAACTAACCATCTTTATATAAATAAAAGATAACAAAAATAGTGCCAGTTATGAACTGGACTCCACTTACAGCCTGAGGACTTTCTACCTTCTGCCATTCCTCACTGCTGGGTCATGGTGTGAAAAGGAAGGGGAGGGCTGGGATTTTATGTCCCCCCCAATTTCGATGGATGTGGCAATTATGCTAAAAGACGGCTGTCCTTCAGTGAAGCCTGCAGGGGTCCCGCGGACAGTACGCCACTGAAAATCACATTACGGGTTTATTCTGACAAAAATATCTGCTGCTGCTTTCACAGTTCTAGTCCTAGAAATTATTTTCCTAAAACTGTATCTTTCTTAAAGAGTGAGGTATATATTAGTATTCAGTGCCTGGGAAGAAGCCAAATATATCCTGATTGCTATTCTGCATCATCTATTTTAGCAAAATTATTCTATTTCAGTTATATCTGCAATCTACAATGGGTAGGCATGAAGTGAATCTCTCATGCAGAATTAGCCCATTTATATAAACCTCTTCTGAAATACTAATTGTTTCCATGGGTGAAATTGTAACAATTACAAATCACTAACAGCTTAGAGGAGAACAAAAGAAATAGTTCAATAATTTGAATTAATGATAAACATGAAAAAATTTACTAATTGTAGCTCTGAAATTTGCTTTTCAAATGGAGGTTTTTCAAGCTGCCTCTTGTTTTTAAAAAACGCTGTTAAATCCCTAATTTTAATCATACAAGGGGTGGCTTTCATCTTGTTCTTGGGTAATACAGCTAAATTTGGGATATAAAGTTAAATCTATTGCAGCCTTACAATTTAAACTTATTTTTACATTCGGTGATGAATTAATATAAAGGTATCATTTGAGGCAGGATT